CAAGTAGCTGGGACCACAGGCGCCCGCCACAATGCCCGGCTATTTTTTGGTTGCATCCGTCATTGTTGTTTGGCGGGCCCGGGCTGGATTCGAACCTGCCACCTTGGGTGTATGTGGCTGGCGCCTTAGCCACTTGATCCACAGGCGCTGAGCCACCCAACTACTTTTTGTTGCAGTTTGGCCAGGGGTGGGTTTGAACCCGCCACCCTTGTGGGGCCGGTGCCCTACTCACTTAGCCACAGGTGATGCCCTATTATTAGTGTATATGGGGCCAGCGCTCTACTCACTGAGCCACAGGCACCGCCCTATTATTTTTATTTTTTGAGACAGAGTTTTACTATGTCGCCCTTGATAGAGTGCTGTGGCGTCATAGCTCACAGCAACCTCAAACTCTTGGGCTTAAGTGATTCTCTTGCCTCAGCCTCTCAAGAAGCTGGGCTATAGGCGCCCACCACAACGCCCAGCGCTTTTTTTGTTGTGGTTGTTTAGCTGGCTTGGGCCGGGTTTGAACCTGCCACACTCGGTATATGAGGCTGGCGCTGTAACCACTGTGCTATGGGTGCTGAGCCTATAAAAGACACTTGTAACTCAGGAGATTGCAAAGGGTTTAGGGCACTGTGTCAGGAACCAAGGTCAAGGCCAAATATTTTTTATGATACCACAGCCCCCACCCAGACTGCAACCAGACCCCAGCCAAGCCTGCCCTCTGTCTTCTTGGAGTAGTGACGTCAGAGAGGAGGAGGGAAGAACTTCTAGACAGGGCAGTGGTTTTCAAACCTTGATGCACTTTAGAATTTTCTGGGAATCTTAACTCTTGGAAGTGTCAAAAGCAAAATTACAACAAATGTAGTTTAAAAGTCTTCACTGGATTTTAATTGTGATCCTAGAATTGGGCAACACCTAATTCCGTAAAATAGAATGAGTATTCCCTTGAACTGAGCAGAGGAGGCAGACTGTAGAGACAGAGAAGGGCCGAGGAAAGCAGAAACGGAGAATGGAAAAAGCATTGGTGGTTTCAAATTCAAACTTTCCTCGTAAAGGTTAAAGCAGAGGGGACTTCCTTAGCATACTAGATAAAACTTGCCTACTGGGGATTTGACTGTGCTCTCTCTCTTCTGATTTCTGGGAAGGTCAGATAAATAGCTTAGTTTTGGCTTGGTGGTGTGGAACATAAGCTTGAGTGTTCCACTTTGGTTTGTCAGGCCTAGTGCCAGAGCCCAGTTCAGACCAACTGGCCTCCTATACATTTTAATAACAGCAGTCAGTCTGGGGAGGGACCTGGGCATCTATTTTGAACTCTCTAACTGATTCCCACGTTCACTGAAGTTCGAAAGCCAAGGAGTAAACATTTTCTTCTCAGAGTCACTTTGTCCCAGAAGCCTATTCAATCATGCTGTAAAGGAAGAGCCCTGAGTCTGACTCAAGCTATGACTTTCCCCTTGAGGACCAGGACGACCAAGTACAGAGGACCCCTCGGTGAAGCACACCTCCTTTAGCATCTTGGAGATTCAGGCTGGAATCAGACTCTCAGGAAAAGGAATCAGAATTCGCATCGATTACTGTCTGCTGTGTGTCCGGCTACGTGCATGCTGTGCATTGTTATGCTGTTTATCTGTGAGGGAGGTGGAATCATTGTTGTCATTTCATAGCTGAGAGAATATTCAAACTCAGGCTGGCCTGGCTCCAACATGTACCCCCAAATCGTATGTAATGAATAGGGAACATGTGGCGCTGGTGTGACCTGGCTGTGAGCTGGAGCCACAGCAGCCCCAGTGCAATTCTGGCCATTCTGTAATCACTGCAAGTAGCTTGCAGATGCTACGTACCGAAGCGACTATTTCTGAAATAATCATCAGTCTTTCTGAATGTGTTTTATACAGTGTGCTGATCCCTGAGGCAGAGCCTACCCAAAGGTTCTGGAAAGTCCTGGGACCATCACATCTAATGCTGAATCTTGCTTAGTTGAACCCAATTTGACCCTCTTCTGATATGGTGAGTGTGCCCTGGTTGGTTCTGTGGTTCTAAGTCCTGTCTGCAAGGCCAGAGCAGGCCTAGCAGGAGAGCAGCCCTTTCTGCTCAGGGCTGGGGCAGAGGGGAAAAGGTGTCACCCAAGGCTTTTTGAGCCAGTCAAGGTCAGATCCATTTGGAACAGTGGAGAAATAAATAGAAGGAATATAAAAATTGGCAGCCAGAACTTTGCATGGGTCAGAGTGAAGTGGAATAGGTGATCGGAAGCAGTTCAGGGATGAGTCACTGAGGGGACAGCTCGGCCAACATACCTACAGTGTGTCACGGGGCAAGCACAGGAGCTCAGAGGAAATATGTGCACCTGGCTGGACTGTGCGCTAGTTCCATGAGGTTATTTGCCCATTCTCAGTGGATGTCAGAGTTGGCAGTGTGACATGACACTGATTAAAGGGATGGGATGGGAAGGGAGCAGTGTTGCCAGAAGAAACTGGCCCAGGGATCACCAGAGTGAGAATCTGCCTGAGTCCAAGGCCTGGTGCTCAGCCTTTCAGGCAAGAAGCTGCCCAGCATTGATTCTGCTTATGAAGACTAACACCAGCTATACTCTAAAGAGACTGATAGATAAAACAAATGCCTAGTTTGTGTCTTTTCTTTTCTTTTCTTTTTTTTTTTTTTTTTT